GGTCTTGGAAACGTCTCTGTCGCATGGCATCGCAGCCCTGCATCTGGCTCAGGGCAAGAAGTAGCCAGCAGATATAACTACAAAGATGTGTGGGGATAACGCAGACACTTTTCCCATGGACCCCACTGGCTTGCAGCTCTGGTCCATGGCAGAGTTTTCAGTATAAACTTTCAGTTAAAGAGACAGATGACACATTTCACTGGCTGGCACTTCTCAGCAGCTCTGGGGGAGAACATCAGAGGAAACTGTCAGAAAACGACAGTGTCATGGTTCAGTTACTAACTAACCGAAAAAGACACAGTGCTGAACCAGGCCTGACCTTATCCTGCTTGTCTTTCTCCTCTTTCTGCTTCCGCTGCTGCTAGAAGAACAGAACCGGAACCAGAGGCAAGAGCAGACAGGAGACAGAGGAGACTTCGGTGACCCTGTTGGGGTGCGCAGAGCCGCGGGGAGGGGTGTGGGGGCCCTGGAAGCTGCAGCCTGTGGGCAAGGACACTGCCAACCTGTGACGTTGCCCAGGAATTGCCCTCTTTAAGTCACCCTGACAATCCCGCCGCCTTAACATACACGGCTCTGGCAGCTGACCCCACTCTCCAGCCACATTTTCTCACAAAATAAGGAAGGTCACACAAACTCACGTGTTCTCGATATCCCTCTAACTGTTGGTTCTCTGAGTTTGCTTGACTGTCGGGGATCACACCCTCCCTTTCCCCTTTAATTTTCACTGGCGTCTAATTTATTTACAGTGCGTGTGAGTGTCAGATGTGCCGCCAAGTGATCAGCTATGCACATCGACTGCTTTTCAGATTCTCTCCCCATACGCCGTTGCAGAGGACTGTAGTACTATACAGGCCTGGGCTGTCCGGCCAGCCTTATTCGTTACCTGCTCTTTGTTTTGCCCTGAGGCAGAGCAGGGTGCAGGTCTGTGTGGCCCTGATCAAGCATCCTACCCTCTCTGACGTTCTGTTTCCTAAAACGTCAGATGGGATAACAATCCTTACAGTGTAGAACTGTTGTTTGGATCACATATCATGCTTGTGTAGCTCCTCACAGACATCTTCAAATATGAGAAACACTTAGTCACTGGCAGCCGTTTAAAAAGTTACTTATCTTGCCATCTTTCATTTCCTCCCTTTGTTATGAACTGTGTATCGTCTGGAGGGGGATCTACAGCAAGAAGCCATCCTTCACATTCTCCTCTTATCGATCTGAGTCCACTGTAGCCAAAATGCACAATATCTAATCGCTTCTACTAATCTTGGCTGCCTGTAGTTATCTCCATCCAATAAGCTATGGGAATCAGCCTACATATTTTTTAATTAACCAAAAATATTTAAAATTGTCTTGGATTCTCCTCTGCACTTATCAGATTGCCAAAGTTGGAAGTAAGGTGTTAATCCCTAGTGCTGGGAGATGGGCACGTGAGGTCTCACGGTGATGTTTGGAGGATAAACTGCTACTATAACCTTGACCCATTGCAGATGTCAAGATGGCAAAAGTCTTCAAAACATGCACATGCTTTGACTTGGTAATGGCACCTCCAGAAACTTATCCTAAAGATATCATATCTGTGTGCAAAAATGTTCTTGCAGCACATATAATAACGAAAAAAGAGGAAAAATCTAAATGTCAAAAATAGATCTGTCCATTGTGATACATCCATATAATGGAGGACTTATTAAAAAAATTATGCTATAAAATCATATTTACTGACACAGAAAGATATGTGTAAACTGTGTGTGTAAAAAAAAACTGTGTGTAACAAATACAGTGACTACGACAGTTTCAATGGGGGCCTGACTTCAGCAGATAAGGGGCCCTCCTCAGCTCTTCTAGAGAGCAGGTAGGGGAGGAGATGATGATCTCTAGGCCCTCCTCCCTCTGTCTCTCCCCAGGGGAAGGGATTTCCATAACAGTCAGGGAAATTAGGTAAATATCCCTGTAGGTGTGTGCCTGTTGTAGACTAAATGTGTGTGTCCCTCCAAAATCCAAATGTTGAAATCCTAACCCCCAATTTGATGGCATCAAGAGGTGGGGACTTCAGAAGGTGATTAGGCCATACCCTCTCTCTAGAATGTGCTCAGGGGATTTATAACAGTTGAGTTAGACAAAAAGCACATGCTATTCACAATAACCAAGACATGGAAGCAACCTAAATGTCCATTGACAAATGAATGGATAAAAAAGATATGGTTACATGTATATGATGGGATATTACTTAGCCTTTAAAAAGAAGGAAGTAATCCCATTGTAGCAACATGAATGGAACCTAGAGATTGTCATATGAGTGACATAAGTCAGAGAGAGAAAGACAAATACCATACGATATCACTTAAATGTGGGACCTAAAATAGGATACAAATGAACTTATTTACAAAATAGACACAGACTCACAGACATAGAAAACAAACTTATGGTTATCAAAAGAGAGGGAATAATAAATTTGGAGTTTGGGATTAAAAGATACACACTACCATATATAAAATAGATAAACAACAAGGACCTATAGTACAAAGCTCTTACTTAGCTATGTACAGTATAGCACAGGGAACTGTACTCAATATTTTAATAATCTACAAGTGGAAAAAAAATACATATACATACATATATATATATACACACACACATATATAACTGAATCACTTTGCTGTACACTTGAAACCAACCAAACTGATAAATCTACTATACTCTGATTTTTAAAAAGAAGCATATACAAGGCAATGGTAAAGTCAAACTGGTATCACAGGATGTATATACTAAAGGAACCCCAAAACATAATTCAGAAAGACACATCTATACTAATGTTCATAGTAGCACTGTTTACAAAAGACAAGGCATGGAAGCAACCTAAATGTCCACTGACAGATGAATGGATAAAGAAGATATAGCACATATGCACAATGGAATATTACACAGCCATGAAAAGGAACAAATTGGGTCATTTGTAGTGATGAGTCTGTCATACAGAGTGAAGTAAATCAGAAAAAGTAAAACAGATATGGATGGGATGAGGGGTGAGAGGAAAGTCCCAGAGAGAAGGGAGATAATACATACACACACACACACACACACACACACACACACACACACACTTATAGCTAATTCATTTTGCTTTGTAGCAAAAACCAACACAACATTGCAAAGCAACTATACTCCAATTAAAAATGAATGAATAAGGAAATTTCACAGTCAGAATGAACATGATTCCATTTTCCCTAAAGTCCCACCAGACCAGTTGTTAGGAAACTAGAAGAAACACAGTGAGAAGAGGGTAGCATGGTTTTCTAGATACAGACTCTGCAAAGAGTGCGAAGACTGACACGGCAAGTTTGGCAGTCAGGACAGAGGGAATCTGAACACACACCAACACTGCCTCTCTGAGGACACGGGTGAAAAGGGACACCCAGCAGGGCCTCTGATCTAATGACTCTGCGAGCATGACCGAGTCCATGAAGACTAACTGATTTTCACAATGATGATCCCAAGTAACCAAGAGACTGTTACATCTCACATCCAGAATTCTCTGCTCAAGAAGGTAAGGGAGCATGTAATCCACTTGAGAAAGATTTTCATTTCAAATAGTTAAAAATTCTTTAAAAACGGTTTGGATGCTTAAAGGGGTAAATGACAACTACCTGGAAAATTCACTTATGTAGAATAACTTCTTCCCGAAAGACTCCAGATCAGTGACGTGGTGGGTAGTTGTATTTAGTTAGGTTTCTAGCACTTCTTGTTTGACATTTCATTGTCTAATTTCCTGAAGCCTTTCAAAATTCCTCACTTTCAAGGAACATAAATTCCTTGAGGCTAAAGATTCTGACACCCTTTCTTGGATATTCCACATCCTTGTTATACTTGGCCTTTTATATTTTCCTGCCACAAATGATGAACTGACATTCACAAAAATGACAGACCCCCGAGGCATGCATCAACTTTGACCAAGCCCTCTTGACATTTTGCAAGCCCTTCGAGTTGTGGTAAGCAATCCTAGAAGGGTCTTTTGCAGCCCTTATCAACCATTTGAACTAGAAAATACAGAACAATCAATATATAAATAAAGTTAGCATAATTTTTTAAAGTAACCTTTATATTTTTAGAGTCACTTCTCCTTGTTTAGGAAAACATCTTAGGAATTTGTGCAGAAATCAGCAACTTTTATTAGAAGCTGTCTGCTCTCCTCTATCAATCCTGGACTTCAGCTGCAGTATTTACAGCCTCCAACCAACTCTGCTTGCTTCAGGCTGCCTTTCACAATCCAAACAGCCTCTGGCCAATCTATCCTGTTACTGTTTGTCCTGAATTCAGTGGGTTTTGCATACTGACAGACTCCCTTGGTTTGTCTCAATTCTAGAGTCAAGGGGAGACTCTGTCTGCAGCCAAGGACCTCTGTTCAGTCCCGAATGGGAGGTTTCCCCTCCGACTCCAGGGCTTGTCCTATACTTGCACTCCTAAGCGTGGCACCAAAGACGTATAAGGAGAAAGAGTCATCTCAATTCAGGCCTCACTTTTCAGATACACGAGTGCTGTGCACACAGGCTGTCCCAGCCTGCCCGCTGATCTCACTGCCTAACGCTGCCCCATCACGCACCCTTTCCCCAAACATATCTCGCTGCAGTTTGGTGAATGTGCTGAAATCCTTGATGCTTTCTAATCTCCCGCAACAACCGTTTCCTCCTTCACACCTTCTAAGTCTAGTTCAAGAGCCATTGCTCTCAAGAAAATTTCATTCTCACCAGCATTGCAAAATGGGTGTTGTTACTGCCCCTTTTTTGAAGATGAGGAGAAAACCTTGCGAGGCTACAGAACCCCCTTGAGGTCAGGGCCTGGGCACCAGAGGAAGAACGAGCCCATCAAGTGTCTCTCCTGTGGCGTCTTCTCCTTGCACAGGTGGCCCCTGGCCGGCGGCCCCTTCTGTCCCTGAAACCCCGGGTTGGGGGCCATGCGCCGCACTGCGGTCTCCCCAGGGCGCACGCGAAGGGGCCCGGGCGGGGCGCTCTCACCTGGAGTGTTGAGCAGCCGCGACCTCCTGCAGTGATAGGCTACCTCCTGCTCACAGTGCTCGGAGCCGTCGATCACCGCGCCCAGCTGCTCCAGGCTGCCCCCATAGTCCAAGGTCATGGAGTAGGGCTTCTCAGGGTTGGCGCCTCGCACACGGGTCAGTTCTGTGTTGTTGTGCTGCATCAACGTCCAGATCTTGTCCTCTGCCCAGAAAACACAACCCAAGCAAGGTCAAAACATGATCATGCTTATAGGCCTCCAAAAAGCTGGAAAAACTAAACAGGATTGTGTGAGCACTGTGATGTTTGGTGGCTGCAGGTCCATCAATTAATTGCCACTGGCCTGCTCTACTCATGATAAGGATTTAACCAGAGAATTTTGTTTCTCCTAGAGCTCCACCCAGAGGCAGTGTGGGGGTTAATCCTCTGAAGAGCTAAATTTGTGAAGCCCTCGCTCCACAAGTTCTATGCTTAATGTCCATTACCTCATTGAAAATGGACATGACTTAAGAAAAGTCAGTAAAAAAATAGAAACAGACAACAGAACAGGAATAAAAGGAAATGAATTAATCAGTCGTGGGAAGGACAATTTGGAAGGGGAAGAACTTAGAAATGAGATACTTTGTGATCAGAGTAGAATGTAACTAAATATGCTCAAAGATAACTTTCATGGTGATGACATGCATAAAAGAACATAGATCACTGACAAATCACAACCTGTTGGTAATTAAATGAACAAAAATCAAATGTTAAACATTTCCAATAAATAAATAAATGAAACTGACATCATCTAAATCAGGAGGAAGTTGGTCCTGCCATGTTAAAAATGAGGGGAAAGTGAATAAGGAAAACTAGGCAGGTTTTCTAAGATTATATAGTGAGTTAAAGACTAAGAATTGGAACCCAGGATGCCTGCCTCCAAAGACCCTACTTCCAGATAGTGACACACACTCTTCCTCACAAGAGAAGCCCTAGCATAGACCATTTTCTCAGAGAACCGTAAGTACCACATTCGAAACAAGACCTATTCACAGAGAGCATGTGTGACACATACATCGTAACAAGGATGAGAGTGTGTAATACACAAACAGGCAAGGCACTTAACTGAAGCTTGTTATTTATTCTCCATGATACTTCTACTCACCAAAAATATTTGAAGAGCTTTACATTAAAATACCAGGCAGAGATGAGGGCCTAAAGATCAGGAAGGAGAACATGCTTTGCCTTCTATCAGTAAGAACGGAAGGTGAAGAGAGGAGAGGAATTTTATTTTTATTTTTAGAGCTTGGGAGATCTTCACTTGAAAGCTATTCTATGAACAACACGCTTGGGCAAGTCACTTCACTTTTGGAGGGGCTTAATTTTATCATCAGTTTTAAGAAAAGAAGGTATGAAGTCACAAGGCATTTGGGGATGCATCAGACATTCTGGCATAACAGACTGAAATATGTTCAGTAATCAGACATAGAATTGAATTCTGAACTTGCTCACAAATAAAGTGAAAGAGGAAATAGGAGGACTTGAAAAGCTTTTGTCATCTGAGAACCTTGCCCACATAATAACATCCTTGCTCTTCACAGATGCGCAGAGCTGGAACAGAACCTGGCCCAGACATCGTGTGGTTTCCGCCCTCTCTCTCTCCCTCACTTAGTTTCACAAATGAGGAAACCAGAGTCTAGGAAGTAAAAGAATGACCCCCAGCATATCTATTAGATGAGAACTGCAAGCACATACACTGCCACCATAAAAAATACTTCTAGTTATAGTATATAACCAGCACTACTTAGGAACAGGATGGTGGCAGCTGTCCATGAAAAAGAAAATAATGTTAAAAATAACTGGCAAGCAGTATCCCCAGGTTTTACTGTCTCTGCCTCAACTCTGCGTATGAGTTAGGATAAGTAACTCCATTTCCCTGCACTTCAGTTTCAATATATTAGAAAAAGGAGGAAGAGAAAGTTTGGTCGTCCCAATTCCTAAATGACGAAATATTTATTGCAGCAGAAAGTTAAACTCTGCTCAAACATTCTGATTCTTCTTAACACTCTTTTCTGAAACCAGCTCCCTGATAACCCACATCTCCAATGTTTAACTGAATGGCATTTTCTATAAAGTCTAAAAAAATCAGAAGGTTATTGGATTTTTATTTTGAAAGCAAAAACAAGGCTTGATTCATATTGGTAAAAATAATAATGTTACACAAACAATGAACCAGAAATTTCAAAAATGTTGGTGCCAGTATAGACAAATGTCAATAAAATAACCAAAGAAAGTAGTCATTCAATAATACACCACCGTAGAGGGAGAAATACAAACTGCCAATTTTGAAATGTCCATGGTACTTACAAGAAACAGAACTCTAATGAGATGTCATGCTACTGTTCCATTCTAAGATATTTTACATACATCATCATCAGTACTTGTAACAATCATGGCAGATATCAATATATAGATACAAGAATAGATATTACAGGTATACATATAGATACAGATATAAGAAGGAGAGAGAAAGTAAGCTTGTCCCCAATCTCAACGTGTCCAATCTGTTTGACTCCAAAATTGGTCCTCACAGCATCACTAAATTACACAAATTTGGATTTCCTTCTAAATGTACACTGATTTTCATACCTTTGTCCATCCAGTGTTCACATACCAATTAAACAATTTGCTTGTTCATTTACTCATTAGCTCATTTTTCCCAAAATCTTACTCTATTTTTGGCAAGAGGGAGAAGAAAGGCTTGTATCAGAGAGACTATCTTTTATCCCAAAGCCACAAATATCGCAAACCCCTCCTTCTGGGCCCGGAGAGTGAAGTTTTCACAGTTGAACTCTTGGCACTTTTTGATATATGCGATAGATGGAAGATACAGGGAACAACTAAGGGTCCAAAAGCGGCCCTCAGTTCACTAAACACACATCAGAAGCGCGGTCTGACCAACAGGAAGAGAGACGATCACTCGGAACCTAGGGTCTCAAGGTGGTTTCATTTCAAAGACAGACTTGTCATCTCATTATTTCTCTCCTGGGTGATAGAAACATAAAGACTAAAAATAAAAAGATAACTGGATGTCATCTTTTTCTCACTTTCTATTTTCTCTCCTACTCCCTCGGTTGCTGTGCAGATTAGGCCCTGAACCTGGTGAAACATGAAAAGCCAGGGGTCGGTGCCAGTCAGGAGAGTCACTTTTGATGGCTGGTGCTCCTGACACATGGAATAAGGTGGGGACAGGCAGTTTGAGCTAGGGAAGGTGTGGGTGAAAGACCTCAAGCAACGTTCATTCTGAATAGGCTTTTGGGGGGATGGAGGGTGATCCATTCATGGGCCTCCACATACTATAAATAAAACTGACCTCATGAGCAAGATGGTAAATTTAGTCAGCGGGCAATGGACAGAGCATGAATTTTGGCCTCAGAAGATCTAGATTTGTGAGTCAACCCTACACTTATTGGCCAAGCATAGTTGGTCAAATGATTACTTTTCTGAAGTTCAGTTTCTTCATCAATTATACTTTAAAAAGCAGCAATGACGCCAACTGTAGAGGATGGTTGTAAAGATTAAGTGAGGAGATCAGTGTGAGGAACTCATTATTAACTAAATAACTAGCTTTTTAATAGAGATCTCTGTGTACCACTTAGATAAAGATACATGACATCTCCAACTCCAGCAGCTCACAGATGTCTGATGCTGATATTAACAAAAGCATTAAAAAGAAGGAGAAGCTATGACTGGTCTCTTGTAGTTTTCAGGATAGCCTGCTTCAGTAAGGTTATTCCCCAGGCCAGAAAGGAAGACCCACAAACACCCAGAGGAGAGAGACACCAAGCTGACCTTCTCTCTGCACACCCAGGGGGAAACACACCAGACTCAAAAGTCCCAGAATGCAAAATGTTCCTCCTGGGAGCCTGTGAACTTGGACTTTCACACAAGGAAACCAACAGAGGTTTCCCTCTAACTCGGGTAAGTCCAGTTTCACGCAGAGACCAAGGAGGAAATCAGCTAAAAGCTATGACTGGCAGACCATCATAAAATCCTCCAGGCTCCAAACACCACCCTCAGCTGGTCTGCCTCCAGCACCATCCCTCTATCACATGGCATCTACCTGCATCTAAAGCCTCAAGGCGCCATGAGACAGCCTGGCTTTAGAAACCAGTCCATCAGTTGAGCATCTATGTTCTTCTCTAGTAGGAAGACTTAAGTTAGGGGTGGGAAACTCATCCTGCAAAGGAGGTTAGCTAGCAGACTCCTTGTGATATAGCTGCTGCTGTATATAGTAAATGATTATTATCTTGTTGAATTACCTTTTCACTTTGAAATAGCCTCATGTGTTTCTAGATTTATTTTCATTCCTTGCATTTCATAAATGTCTACAATAGAATATGTTGTTTAGTCCTTACAGACCCAGAAACCTAGAAAATCATTGCCCTTGATTCCACAGTTTGCTACCCAGGTCATTTTCTATTGTTTCTTTTACTGTATTCAGTCCCATAATGAGGAACAGAGTCCCTCTTTCTAACTTGCTTAAAGGAATACAAGTATTGAGTTACTCAAGACAAATTGTCTGCTTAAGAGGGGACTGCATTTGAAGATTTTTTTGAACTGGCAGAAACTTATTCAATTCGCTAAGGATCTTAGTTAGTCTAAAATAAGTTATTATGCATTTTAAATGTTTATTATCCAATAAATGGCTGGCAAATATTTTCTCTAATTTCTGAGATTGCTTTTTAATTTTGTTGACTATTTCTTGTGCGGTACAGAAGCCCTTTAATCTGATGTAGTGCCACTTGCTGATTTTTTCTTTTGTTTTTTGAGCTTCTGTTGTCAGAGTAAATAAAAAAAAAAATTGTTGTCAGAATGTCAGAGGGATTTCTCCCTTATGTTTTCTTCTAGGGTTTTATGCCATCAGGTCTTCTGTTGAAGCCTTTACTGTTTTTCACGTTAAATTTTGAGTAGTATAAGATACGGGTCTAATTATTTGCATGCCCAGTTTTCCCCACACCATTTGTTGAAGAGATTATCCTTTACTCTTGAATATTTTTGGCTCCCTTATCAAATATCAATTGATCCTTTATGTGAGAGCTTATTTCTGGGCTCTCTATTCTGTCCTACTGGCATATGTGGCTATATTTTTATGCCAATATCATACTGTATTAATTACCGTAGCTTTGGAAAAATGGATATATGTTGTTTAAGGGCACAAAGTT